ACATTTTTAGTCTGTTCGGTTTTTTGGGATTTTTTTTTTTTTTAGGTTTTTGCCTCTAAAACCACAGGTGCTTGCCAGAGAGAGAGAGAGAGAGACCAAGACAGCACCCTCCATGAGGGGTGGTCACAGTGCAATCCTTTCTCCTCCATCTCTCCCTCTTGAATTTTTGAGTCTAAATGCATGCGTCTGGTGTCTTTTTCAAGATATTAGGTCCAGGGCTTGAACCACTTAGTCAGCGAAGTGAGTTCCAGCTCTCTTAACCAATATGCCACAGGTCGGCCTTTAGGGCTTTTCTAAAACCACAATAATTTTTTTTTTTTTAAGAATTATGTTGTATATTTATTTATTTACTTATTTGTTATTTTTACATGAATTTACCAGAGAAAGAGTGAGAGTAAGAAAGCAAGCCGCCAGGTCCGGGATTCGAACCAGTCTGCCATGTGAGAATTCCAGCACCTTAACCACCATGCCACCTGCTGGCCCCAATAATTAATTACGTTGGCATTGGGTTAAAACTGCAGTGACACTTAAATTGTACAACCAGTCAACATAAACAAAAGGCCAAAGCAAAAAAGCCAAGTGAGTATTAAACGTAGTATTGGGTTGTCAGAAAAGTCATGAAGCATTTTTGCATAGAAAAACAGAAAAATTCATCATGACTTTTCTGACAACACAATATAATAGGAAAGAAGAAGTTTTTTTTTTTTTTTCCAATGTACAGATGAAAGGAAATACCTTGTTTCAAAGTCAGTAAAAACTGTGCAACCTCAGAGGCCATTACTTAACCATTTTGAATGCACAGACTTTAAACTTCTTAATAACACAGATATTGCTTAATTAGGAAATAGAAGGATGGAGCCCTTTATATGACAAATGGGCTGTGACCAAGTTTCTCACCATTTCAGCTCTGCTCTATTCAAAAGGATTTTTAACTTTAATCATTTCAAGTATTTCGTATTCTGGGGAGAAATCATGTGATCATAATCTGATAAAAATATACAAATTAGCTGGTTATGTTTTGAAACATTTTAGTAAAATTTCATTAGGATTATTTTCATGGCTGGTTACTTACTAATCAAACAGTGAAAAAACAAAATTAGTTTCTTAGATACGCTTATAAACAGTGTTAAAAAAAAATCTACTATTTTTAGTTAGCATAATGGCTATGCCGCTGAACTCCCATGTAGTTGACCACAGTTGGATTTCTGGACCTGGCGGCTTAAATGCATGCCGGGGCATGTGTGTGTATGCCTAAGATCCCGAGAGGAGAAGGGACTGCGGTGTGGCCATCCCCCTGGAGGGGGGTGATTTCTCGCTTTCTGTCTCTGTCTTTCTGGCGAGCGCATGCACCCTATAGCAAAAACTTCTCAAAAACCAAAATAACCTACTAAAGCAATTGAATAGGTAGACTAAAAGTACAGAAGGACTGCGAACTTAATTATAAAAACTGTGTCTCCTTGAGACGAGGAGGAGGGACTGCGGCATGGCCATCCCTCTCTGCAAAGTGATTTTTCACTTTACTTTTCTGTCTTTCTGTCTCTTTCTGGAAAGCGCATGCACCCTATAGCAAAAACTAAAATACAAAAGTTTCTCCTTGGCTTACAGTGGTGATGACCTGGAAGAACGCACCTGTGAGAGCCCTCAGTTTGACGCAGCAGGCGATGTAGTCATCGAAGGTGATCTTCCCATTGGTGCTGTATCGTTTTGCAATTGAATTCACAGCTTGGGGACTCAACCTAAATCCTGAAAGGGAGAAAAATTACCTAGCAAAACAAGTAACAGGATTCCAAAAAGACCATTAGAAAATAGTAAGCACAACTTTTTAAGACTGTCTGTGAACTCACTTTAATTAACAAACACACAGTTTAAGAAAACAGAAAGTACCTTCTTACTTTTCAGAAACACACACACACACACCCAAAAACAAAACTTTACTTCTACCATTTAATGGAGAGTTCTCATTAGCCATACCCACCCATTGTCGTCAGGGCTTTCTGCAACTCTTGAGGATCCACAGTTCCACTCCGGTCACTATCAAAACTGATGAAGTGTTGTCTCCAGCCATTCAGTACAGCCCAGAGTTCTTTAAATTCATTGAATCCCATAGTGCCAGACATATCCCTCTGAACTGTAATTAAGGGTCAGCACTTCTGTATTTGGCAGTATTTTCTCATGATTAAACGGAAGATCAAGGACAAGGGGAATTTATTATTATTACTTTTTTTTGCTGAAATAGTTAAATATGTGATATATATTCTTACTACAACAACAAAAAAGATGAACAAAAATGTATAATAAAAAGAGCCTATAAAGGAAAAGCTCTGATAGTACAGTACCTAGCTTCACAGTGGGAAAAAGATAACCTATGGGTCCAACATTGCCACCGTGAGCCACAGGTACACAGCAGTCTTCCTACTGGAACTGGTGCGGGGGGCTGCAAGCTACGCTGTTTGTCCTTCTGTCCTAGGGTCATTGTTGGCTCTACCATTCACTGCTAAGCCCTCGCAGGTCCTGGATCTCACTTCTGGACAATGAGGTGGGATGGAAGGTACTGCAGAGTTCAGCACTAGCTAGAGGGAGTCCAACAACTGGGATGTGAACAATCCCATCACTGGAAGGTCTGGTGTGAATCATGCAGCATAATAAATGTTAAAAGATTAAAAAAAATAAAAATCTTTCCTGACACTCTCGTTTCTACAAGTGTCCTACTTTGATGCTTCCTTAGATTCTTTTTAAAATTTTTTTCCAGAGAGAGACACAGAGAGAGAGAGAGAGAAAGTGAGAAATCACTACCCTCCCCCCCCATACCACCACCCTTAAGAAGGATGGCCACACTGCAATCCCTTCTCTCTGGATTTTTGGCATGCACACATGTCCAGTATGTTTTTCAAGCCAGCAGGTCCAGGACTTGAACTGTGATGTTGGCCATGTGGGATCCAGCCTCCTTAACCACCAAACCACCAGCTGGCCTGCTTCCATAAATTCTTAAATAACATATTCTACTTGTTAAACTTGCCTTTTTCTTGCAAAATTATATTATAAATGGTAATTATTTCAGAGAGCATTTTTAGTTGTGAGTTGCCATTTTTTTGTTTACTGGGTATTAATTCTGAGATGAATTCCTTCAGGAAAGACAGTTCCTGTCAAGAAAAATTACTCTAGACAACAACCAAAGTAAAGGATACATCCAGCATTGAAACCATAAGGCGACAAGTCTCCAGATTAAAAGCTGTGAAAAAAAGCATATCCATGTTAGTGTATTTTCAAAAGTTCCCGTTATACCAGACACATTCAAATTAATTAGGTATGTAATTATTTATACAGTTCTATTTTTATATGCTACTCAATTTATGTGAGACTAAATTATATGGAACTTTGAAGGAGATTATTTTCCAGATAAAAGAGGACGCCTAGAATCCAATTTGATTTTATCAATTTTAATTGAAACCTTCAAAAAAGTATAACATAATAGTTAATACTTTGTCTTTATAACTGTAATATAGTGAGTTCAATTCACAAACATGAACCATGATATATTATATCCACTAGAGTGGACGGGAGGGTATGTTTGCTTTGCTTCTGCTCATAAATGTCTGTAAATTGGTATTTTGTTCATTTTGTGTCCAATCATTTGTTTTTCTGTCCTTTCCCTTTAATGTCAGGCACTGAGTGATAAGCCATCTTCAATAGTCTACGACCCTCCATATACAATAAACGTGCATAAGTCAGATAAATATGCTTGATAGCATTGTATGTTAACAAGAGCACATCAGATAAATATGCCTGATAGATAGCCTCACGTGTTAAAAAGGGCACTCCAGAGTAAGGCCCAATGACTAAGTGATGGCCACTCTAGGGAGGTATTTTTAGCTTATCTAAAATTTAGGAGTGTTCTAAGGGTATTTTTGTACCTCACTTACGGAACCAAACCAGGAGACATCGCGTGGATGTGGCCCACTGGTAATCTAGCTAAGCAGTAGACTTATATAGATTTAACTTTAGGAAATGAAAAATAAAGAGCTCCTTGGGCTGGCCTTATTGCCTGGTGGTTAAGGTAACTGGCTCCTACATGGCAAAATATGGTTTAAATCCTGGCCCTGAGAGCTTGAAAAACACACCAGGCACATGTTGTGTGCAGTCTCAAAACCCAAACAGGACAGAGAAATGGAAAAGGAATTGTGGCATGACCATGCCCCTTGTGGGGCGTGGGGGGAACTGCTTTCTCCCTCTCCCTCCTGTCTCTTTGACAAGTGTGTGTGCTCTCAGGCACTTAAATAAATCAAGAGCCCCTTGAACCTTACATTGCCTTAACAGGAATCAATGACTTTGAGGAAATACTGCACTAACATTGCTTCAGAGCTATTTATGGCTTCATTTTTCTCTAACCTAATTTAAATTAAAATACAACTGATCTCTTATTATGTAATGTCCCCAAACAGCACAAACTATAGGTTTTCCTCCTTTAACAGATTCCTGTGTTTGGTAATGCCTTTAGTGGAAATAAGACTTCTGACTATTTCTATTTCAATCCTTCCATCTCCATTTGACACAGGAATGTAGTTCTCTGAGGTGAGAGGAACAGGCAAAGCTTTTCTACACTTTGAACAAAGAGCTGGCTGATTCTCCGTTCTGCCATTTAAGTTGTGTGGAAGAAGCCATCTAACATAGATCAGGGGTTCTCAACCTGGGTGCTTATCAGAATCATCCAGAAGCCTTAAAAGATCCTGATAACTGGGCTGCACCATGGATCAATTAAATCAGAATCTCTGAGGGGAGAACCCCAGCATCATACTTTTAAAAGTTCCTCGGATAATTCCAGTGACTGGCCAAGTTGGGTGCACCATTCCACTCAAAGTGTGACTCTTAGGTCAGCCATACTAGTATCCCCTGAAAGCCTGGTAGAATAGCTGAATCTCAATCCCTAATGGACGTCAATAGCATCAGAATCTGAATTGTAACAAGATCCCCAAGTGATGGAATTCACATTAAAGCAGCTTGTTCAACCTGGACAGCATCATATGGAAACTTACTAGTATCCCCTGAAAGCCTGGTAGAATAGCTGAATCTCAATCCCTAATGGACGTCAATAGCATCAGAATCCGAATTGTAACAAGATCCCCAAGTGATAAAGCAGCTTGTTCAACCTGGACAGCATCACATGGAAACTTGTTAGATGCCATTCTCTGGTCTCATTCCAGACTGCCTGAATGAGAAACTCTAGGGAGAGGCCTAGTAATCTTTCTACAAGCTTTATGGGTGATGCTGATACTGCTGATGTTTAAGAAAGACTGCTCTCTGGGGCTGCAGGTAGTGTAGGGGTTGAGGCTGACCACAGTTTGAGTCCTTGGCCTGGCAGCTTACCTTCTCTCTCTCTTTTTCTCTCTGTCTCTTTCTGGCTCTCTCATGAGCAAATGTGTCCTTTAGCAAAATTTATAAGGCAATAATAGTAATAATAAATAAAAAATTCTTTAAAAAAAAAAAAAAGACTGCTCCAGACAGCTTGATAAACACAGAATGGAGCCAACTGTCTGTCTTACATCAAGGTTTCAAGGGGCCATGAGGCAGACAGATTCTATCTCCCAATTTTATGAAAGGCACCAACAACCACTCAGCTGCCAACCACGCCAGAAACAGCGTCCCTAATTCCCTCTCCCACAATAACCAGTCACCTTCTAAACAGCTTTAGAAACCAGCCTCACTGTAACATCCCTGGTCTGGTATTTCTCTCTCCTGTGTGACTCCAACAGTCACCTAATAGGTATCTCTGACTCGTTTTTACTCCCATGTCCCTTGCTGTGGTCTTAACCCTTCTGCCAGGGTTAGCAGTATGTGTTCTCCTAAACAAAACCCAGTAGAGGTGTTAATTATGCTGCTCTCAGGTGAAGTCTAAACACAGTCACCAAGTGAAGGTCATCTTCAGCTCAGCTGTTTTCTTACTCTTCACCCAACTCCATCAGCGATCTTCATGAGCATTTCCCAGTTCCCTGACTCAACTATGCATTCTCTGGGTCTTCTGCAAATGCTGCTCTGCCTACCCGGAACACAACTCCCCCATCCTACTCATTTCTGGGTCAGTCTCATTTCTGTTCAAGTTTTACCTCTGTTCTTCAGTTTATGTATCAATTCTGCAAAGAAAACCTTCCTGGCTCCAATCCAGGTAAAGTGCTCACCCTATAAGATCACACGGCCTCTGTGCTTCCTCATCCCAGAGCTTTTCACATTGTCCTGCAGGCACTGTTTGTGAGCACACCCAGCACCTAGCACAGGGCACGCATCTATCAATACTGTGTTGCTTGGACAAACGAATGTATAGATGAGACCGAATTCTCATACCTGTGCAGGAAGCTGAATATCCCATGACTCTGTAAGCCCTTCTTCAGACAGTCTAAGGAGGAATGTGTTTTCTGAATAAAATTTTGCTATCTTGAGTGATACTTAAAAGTAATGTAGAATCTTAAAATATCAGTAAGTGATAAAGCTAAGGTTTTTCCATTTTAGAAAATTTCCCATACTCAGCAGCCACTCATTAATGTATTCCCTATGTACAGGACTCAGGGTACCAGGAACTTGGGAGATACTGACAGGAAATCAGTCTGCCCTAGCTAACAGTCTAAGAAAGATAAGCTGTATTGCACACACAATGCTAACTAAGGTAGAGTTATGACAGAAGCACCCAAAAGTATGAGCAGATATTGAGAGGGGTTCCTTTCTAGTAAGAGAATCAGGAAAGATTTCATAGAATGGGGAGCATTAACCCAAGCCATGAACAACAGGGAGGACATTTAGAGGTAGTGAAACAGAAAGGTCCAACGCAGGCAAAGAGTACGTGATTAGGTTAATCAGACTTACAAGAAAGCATCCAGAAAGTGGATGGAAATGGGGCTGGTTAGATGAGCCAGAGTGACAGAGAATCTTGGAGTCCTACTAAGTTGTTTAGCCTTTATATTATGGGCACCAAGGACTATCAAAGATTTTTTGAGGACAGTGCCAGTGAGAGCTGTGTGTCAGTAAGTTCAGAAACCTCATCATCTTTTGTAAGCAGGATCTGAAAGGGAGGGAATGGGCTTAGCAATGAACAAAAGAGAACAAACCAGATGTACCAACACAGACAGTGTTGATGAACTAGAACGCTGATGTAAGGTTGGCTGGGATAAATCTCTGCTCAATTTTGTTAACTGTACTTTTTCCTCAGAAATAGCTTTTATTAATACTAATTATATATGATCTTAATTGCCACAGGGTATACACACTTGCCAGCGCGAGCCAGGGAGAGAGGGAGAAAGCACCTCTGCAACAAGACATGGTCAAAGTGTAATCCCTTCTCCGCCATTTCTCCATCCTGTCGGTATTTGGGGCATACAGATGCATGTGCCCAACATGTTCTTCAAGCCTCTGGAGCTGCGATTCAAACTGCAGTCAGCCACATGGAATACCTATTCCTTAAGCACTGTACTACGGAGCTGGCCCCCTACTTCTTTTTTAAATAATTTCAGAAGAATCTATGTTATAATTTACCTTTGATATTTGCCCTCTCTTCTATTCATTCTCCTAGAATGCCTCAAATCTCTTCTGTTCTGGTAGAAAAACATACAATATAATGAACCTAGCAAGAAAGCCCTACCTCTAGTTGTTTCTCTCAACCTTACCACACAGGAAGAACTTTTTCTTTTTTCTAGAGGTTTTTGCTATAGGGTGCATGCACTCGCCAGAAAGACAGAGAGAGACAGAGAGATAGAAAATGAGAAATCACCCCCCCAGTGGGGATGGCCACACCGCAATCCCTTCTCCTCTATTCTCCTCTCAGGATCTTGAGCACACACATGCCCTGCATGAATTTAAGCTACTGGGTCTGGGACTTGAGCCACGGTCAACTACATGGGAGTCCAACGACATAGCCATTACGCCAACTGCTGGTCACATAGGAAGAACTTTTTCAAAGAAAAAAGAGAAACTAAATTGTTATCTCAAGACACTATAGAGTGATTTCCTCCATAAACTCTACCTCTAGGGGTGACTACTTTCCTTTAAGCTGTTTAAGAAGGGCCTGTGGGTACGGGGAGTGTACCACCTGCTC